ATTTTCTATCGAGCGATTGCAGAGGTTCATTCGCAGCTCTGCATTCGTTTTTCATAGGACCATGCAAGCATAGTATGATTCAGAAATTCAGTGGTTTACAGTCGAGAAGTTTGTCTCTCTTGAATAATCAACGAGAATTTCGTAGATTAAGAATTTTGCTCAAATACTTCAGCGCGAAAAGAATTAGGAAGTCTTACGAATGAATGCAATGTACATCCATTCTTCATAAATTATCGTTTACGTCGATTAATGCATCAGTAACTAACGATTAAGCATTTGTATAGAAACTAATTAGAATTGCTAAAAGTTGCATTTGAAAACAATAAACGAGTGTAATCTGAGGCTTTGAATCGTTATCATATCGTAATCGCATTGATAAATTATATTATCGTATCAACGACAGCAATAAACAAATAATAATCGTACTTCGTACCTCTACAGTCATTCGAATACAATTATCAAATCAACAACAGACCAACACCAACAACAATAACAACATCTAAACCAACTCAGTTCAGCTCAAATCAACTCAACAAATGGCCTCCACACTGATGAACACGATACTTGCTTCATTGCTGGTCTCGCTGATGCTCCATTCAATGAATGTGGTCAGTTCGCATAGGATATGCGGCTACAAGCTGGCTAAAATCATTCGTCAAGTTTGTGATGTGGCCGAATGTGATTGGGAAGATGATCTGATCAAGATGGAAATCGATGATGAAGAAGGTTTGTTACCAAAATCAGTTGACTTCTTCAAATACTTGCAAGCTTTATCTGTAATAAAACNCAAGAAAACTTTTTCATGTGTACTGTACTGCTTGTCTCATGAAACGTTCAGCATTGAACATTCTTCGACGATGCCTGGCATTTTTATCGTACCATAAAATTCAGCATATCATTCTTGAATGTTCCACTCAAAAACTATCCTTTTTTGAAACTTGATCACCTTTCAGAGATGATCATCTCTAAATCTGTTGCATTTTGATTTTGACATCTTCAAATGATCATTCATAAAACCTTAAAGGATTTCTGACTCATTTCTCATAGATTCCTCAAATGATGATTTCTAACTACATATACCTACTCCTTAGACCTTGTATCATGATACAAGGTCAAAGGAGTAGGTATATGTAGTTGTTTTTAACGAGACTGATTTTTGTTACTAACTAGATTTCAAACATTGTTCCATGGACCTTGATGCGGAACTCTCATTGATCAGTTCCAAACTTCTGCACTTTCAAACTATTTTGCACACCAATACAGAGTTGTTGACCATTTCAAATGTTTACCACTAGTTCGGTAAGCAAACTTTTATGACTGCCATACGAGTCGGTTTGACGTCAACAAACTGGAGGCAATAGTCGTTTTATGATTGCGGATACTTTTGAATTGACAAAAACGGACGTCATAATGATAGTAAGCTGGTTTACTTAGGCATTGACTTACTGTCATCTTACAATCGCTAGTTGCAAAATTATTACTAAATTGCAAAGAAAAAATAGAAAAACATAAACGTTTTTCATAATCATTCATATCACCTTTCAAATATCTATACGCTAAAACCTTTCAAAATAATCATTCCTACCTATACGCTTCAACGACTAAGCTTCTTTATCGAAACGCCTCAGTCGTTGACAAAGAATAAGTGGTGCTGTGAAGATGGTGTATTCAGGAATTCACTCGAGAGTAATGAAAGATTCATTAGATTCATAGTATCACTTGCAAATAAATGTGATCTTTGCTTGATATCATGCAATGAGTTTGGCTGTTCAAAACTACGACACAAAATTTTTCTAGAAAACTTGCTAAGTGAATAATCGAAGTTTTTTAAAGCATCACAATTGTTACTATGAACACTATTCATGGTGTATTAATGAGAGGAAGTGATTTATTTTGACGGCAGAAAACAGCATAAGAAACAACTGGTTGTTGACGACATGATTTAGAATCATTTGAGAGAATTGAACTCGTTTCTTTTTGTTTGCGTCGATGGGCATTCCGATCTGAAAAAAAACATTGTTTACGGATACTGCGCCATGGTTTGCTGCCGCCGAAATAATGAAGAAAAAATTGTTTACATTG